CCATTGCACAAACCTTTAACTCTATTAATTTGAATTATCAATTGATTTAAATTCAACTTACTTATACATCATCAATTATTCACTCTCCTCTTAAATTACTTCTTTTTATGCCTATATAATAATTTTATGATTTTTACTTTATTCACTATAAACTCTTTCGTTTCATTGATATCTCTAAACTTTTTCTTCACATTTTTAACTGTAAAATAATTTAAATAAATTTAGTTTTTTCTTAATGTTTGATTCCATAATTAGTTAATTTATTTAATTTAATCAATTAATGATTTCTGATCAATTTACTCAGTTTATTTGATTTAATCAATTGTCCAATTTATATAAATTTTTGATCTGTTTTTTTCATCTACATTTCCAATAAATTAATCAAATTATTGAACGATATTAGACTTAATTTTAAAAGATCTTTTTATATATCTACAATTAGTTCGATGTTTATCACTATCATATCTCAACTGATACTAATTTTGATTTTCTTCTATATTTTATAAGACTTTCTTAAAGCTCATAAATTGGATTTTTGATTCTCGATTTTAATGGGCTCATAATAAAAATATTAGAAACTTTTAATATTTAAATTTGAGTTAAATTGTTAAATATAAATATATTATAAATATAATTTAATAATTATTAAAAATGAATACTCAATCAATAGTTAGCTAATTAGGAGATAAAATATAAGAATGTCTTGAAGGGTTTTAATAAGAATTAGATGTAAGTTTTTATCGTTTATGCTTAGTCCTCTTACAGCAGAATTGAAGCTTTTCTTGATTAACTTTCCCTAATTCCTAATACACCTGTTCCTCAGAATAATGATAACTTTGTTTCACAAGTTATTTAAATATCATAACCTTTAATACAAATATTAGCTAATTAAGTAATTCATGAACTTAAACCTCTAATTAATTTAAATATTCAGGAACAAATTTAATAAACTCAACTTTAACTTCAATAATAATTAATATAAAAATAGAAAATATCATAACCTATAATAATAGACCATCAACATTAATTAAATTTAAAGTCATTCACTTATAATTTATTATAAAGTAAGTCAATCAAATAAAGTGAGAATTGTTAAGCAATAGCTATCAATAAAGATAATTCAATTGTTTTAGCTGGATGTAATAAGTTAATAAAAGTATTTAAATTTTAATAAGAAATATTGAAACAAACTCAACTTCTAAATGAACATACAGGTGATGTTACAACTTTAAATTTTATGTAGAAATAGAATCAATTTGTATCTGGGAGTTAATACGGATAGATTATAATATGGTCTATGAATGAAAATATATAATGGGTATGTTAATAAAAATTAAATGCTCATTCTTAATATATAAATTGTCTAGTAATAAGCAATAATGAATAATTTATCATATCTGGAAGTAATGATAAGACAATAAAATTTTGGTATTAATAATGTTAGCAATTTTTATGTTAATAAACAATTTTAGATCATACACAAAATGTTGAAGGATTAAGTTTGAATGATTTATAGAATAGATTGATATCTTGTGGTTATGATAATTTAATATTAATAATAGAACGTTTATCATAGGATTAAAAATGGAATGTGGTATAAAGAATATAAGTTCAACAGTTTGGTCGTAGAATATGTTTTATAGGTGATAATGTATTCACATTCTAACCTACACTTAAATAGCATATGCATGTTTATGAGATGAATAGCACTAATAAATAGTACTCAAAAACAAAAGAAATTGATGTCAAAAGCGGTTATAATGGTTGTGATTATTGGTTTCCTTAATAATTTATAAAGAAGAAAAGTCTGGTTGTAAATAAGAATGGATAAAATGTTAATTTAATAAGGAAGAACCAAAATGGCGATTTTATAACATAATAATCTATTGATTTTGGACATAATAATATATATGGATAGATGAGTGAAGATGGAGAGTATTTGATGACATGGGATGAGAAATCAAAAGAAATTTAAATAAGAAAATATTATTAAGAATGAGGAAGAATGAATTAATTATTATTAAAAATATATATATCATTTATTCATATATTTTAATTTTTTGAAGAGTTTTTTAAATTATATCAATTTTCTAATTGTTATTATCAATTAAAAAAATAAAAGATCAACATCAAATGGCAAAAATCTTTATTTTATAAATTAAACTTCTTAAACGCTGCTTAAAATTTCCTCTATTTTTATGTTATTAATTTTAAACATCCATTAAATAAACAAATAATTCAAATAGAGGAATCTTCAATGGTAGTTTATTATGTGCACATAGGATAACCAACATGAGTGAATTTTACATATTTTATTTTAATTCTTGAGTAAATAATTAAAATTTTCGGAAGGATATATTATGAATATAATATATAAACTAATTCTTTAACTACAAAAAATTGTTTTTGAAACATTCATGATAATTAATTTAGTTCGTTTTTGATTTATACTTCTATTATATTAATTAAATGGGTAGTATTACTACTTGTGTTTTAATTAGGAAAAGTAAGTGGAAAGGCTACAATTTTTTTTTCAACCATAAATTCTTTTCAGTTTATTTTAATATAGTTTATTTCTTTAAGTCTATATTGATGGATTATAAATTTTATGAGAAACTACATATGTCTTCAAAGATTGAGTTTTTTGGAGTGTGATTATTTAATACAAATTCCATATATTTGTTTATTTATTTATATTTAAATTTTAGGGACAATTAGCTGAGTTACATTAAATTTTTATTAGTATTTTTTATGGTCAAAATCAGTAACAATATCTTAAAGTTTTAGTTTTTTATAATCAATTTAGCAAATATCATTTAATTAAATTAAGAACTCTGTTAAGTAAATATTCATAAATAGCCTCGAAGCAAACCATTGGTGAGATAATAATTCATAAGTAACATGGGGAAATGAAATTGTTATAGGAACTCGTGTTCTAATTGCTCTTATATATTTTTTTAATTATAATATATATATTTTTAGAAAATATCTCTATTAACCTTATTTTTTTGATAATCAAGAAAATGAATAAAATTTCATTAATTAAAATAATTAAATCATATTCTCTTATCTCTTTCTAAAAATTCCTCATTATCATAATCATGTAAATTTTAATCAAATTAGCTAGTTAGTTTGGATCCTAGACTTGACTATTTTTGAAAATCTTTGAATGAATTACACACCAAGTCTTGAAAGACGACGCTTTTTAAATATGTATCTCTTTGCCTAAGCAAATTTGCTTCTGAAAAGCAATCAAGGAATAGCTATTTAAAGATGGCAGCATGTTCTTTATCTTTTTCTCGAAACAACTGTTCCACAAGATTCTTCTTTAATCGGACCCCTTTCTCTTATGAGACTTCTATAGCTGTTGATGGTCATTCGAAATAAGTGCTTCCTAGTTATTCCTCAAGCAGATGAGGACACTTTTAATATTATCAATTGGAAAATTGCTCAAAAATATTAATTTTATTCAACAATTTAAAGAATGAATTTAAAGTCTAAAACTAGTAGCAATATTTTGATTGATACAAATGATTTTGAAGTAAAAGTCATCTTTGCTATTTGAAAGTAAACGCCAGAATCATCCATTAATTGGGCCAATGTCTCTATGATGAATTAAATTCTGCAAAACTTTTCATTAAAAATATATTTTATTGAGAGGATAAGAATATAAGCTGATAAACCTTTTGCAGAATTGGCTGATCCCTATGTCAAATGCAGATCTTTTTTTCTTTCTAAGTATAACACTATCATTATTCTCTTCTCCTTGTAGGATGAATTAATATTAGGATTTCTTGTTAAATGATGTTTGATTTAGACGTAAAAGAGATATTCTTAAATATTTCTTCTAGCCTTTCTTAAATTTTCTAATACATACTAATTGGAGTTCACTTTTTTCTTTATGTTATTAAAAATCTCATTATTCAATAATAAATTAACTACTGAAACTTTTACTTA